CTAGCTCACACTTAATATCGTGTAGCAATGACTCCGGAGCAACGATGGGTGAATGCGAAAAAGCTGCGCTCAACCCTCAGAGCGGCAAGGAAAGAGTACCAGACGCGTCAAGTCGAAGCGATCACGACACCAACTGATGTTTTCAAGCTGATGCGCTCAGCCGAGCCAATGCAAGCAAGTACTCCCCCTCCGCTGAACCACAAAGGGAAGATGTACTCCGACCCAGCCGAGCGGGCAGCGGTACTCCGAGACGCTCTTCTGGCACGGCACCAAGCGACGGACGATCTACCGCCACTCGATGCGCCAAGCACTAATCGAATTCCCTGGGACGACCATGTCTCGGACGGGGAGATCCGCATGTGCACCATAGGCTGTGCTAATACAGCGCCTGGAGCTGATGGGATCTCTGTAGAGCTTCTGCGAAGTTGTTGGAAGACGATTGGTCCATTTGTTGGCACTCTCTTCCGCGCCTGCATCAGACTTGGCACCCACCCATCCTGCTTCAAGCTGGCTGAAGTGGTGCTCCTACGCAAGTTGAACCGAGATCCAACGACGGTTAAGGCTAGAGACCGATTGCCCTCTTGTCATGCTTGGGTAAGGGACTGGAACGACTCTTGGCGAAGCGGATGGCCCATCTCGCGGTTACGTTCGACGTTGTTGGATACCAACAATTTGGGGCGCTTCCTAAAAGATCGGCAAACGACCTTGTCAGCTGCGTAGTCCACGACATTGAAGAAGCGAGTACCCAGGGATGGGCGGCCACATTTACGACTCTGGATGTCCAAGGCGCGTTTGATGCAGTACTTCACAATCGTTTGGTGAGGAGGATGCAAGAGCAGGGGTGGCCAGACTCGATTCTTCGATGGACGGCTTCATTTCTTGCATATCGAAAGGTACAAGTCCGATACTCCGGAGGGGTAACTGGGCAGAAAGAGCTGGTGTGTGTGGTTCCGCAGGGATCGCCGATATCGCCACTTCTCCTCCTCTTGTACATGGTAGAGCCCATGTGAAGTGGCAATGTAAGAATGAGGTTCAGCTACGCAGACGACGTCGGGATAGTAGGATTCGGGCGCAGCATTGCCGAGTCAGCCGCTTCTGTACAGAAGGAAGCGGACCATATTCTGGATTGGGCAAGTACTAACGCTGTCACGGTTCGAGGTATAGATGCTGGGGCGATCAAATATACGAAGGTTGTTTATTATTTTCTCTATGGCTATCTATGTACGTCCAACTTCAACTATTTATTCGCTTACTATTCTATCTAGAATATTCTTGACTAATACCAGTTTCTAGTATTTTCCCCTGAGGCTGGTTCGCAGTCTTACTACTAGTTGCTAGAAATTTCTAATGATGTCCAGATTAATCTATGATAGAATAGTGGTTTCGTAAAGTTGTGAAGCACGTGATTAACATCATGTGCCACAGGGTAATTACCGGCTCACTAGCCGTTACAACGCAGTCTCCTTCGATACCAACAAGTCGGAGGTAGTCCAGTTTCCCGGACGAAAACGCGAGAAGCCAGTGGGCATTTGTGTGAACGGCGTGGTTATCGAGCCATCAGACCAGATACGCTGGCTGGGAGTACACCTAGACCCGCGACTGAACTTCAAACTCCGAGTCACAACGTGGTGCGGCAAAGCTCTGAAGGTGGCCCAGCAAATGCACCGCTTCAACTCAGCATGCCGAGGAGCCGCCCCCGCAGCACTGGTTCGAGCGGTGGATACTTGTATTGTCCCAATAGTAACTTTTGGATCAGATGTTTGGTTGCCCGGCCTCAAACGTCTGACCCAAAAGGGGATCAGCACCCCTCATACCAGCATTTTCTGTGGGATGATCGACAAGGCAATCTTTATGGGACTGTGCGCTGCCCTCCCAGTAATGAGAACGACACCGAATCTTGTTCTCCACCAAGAAGGAGGTATCCCAAAAGGAAAGATCTATAAGGAAATGGTTAAACTGTCCTTTGCAGCTATTGATGGTGACATGAATTAAGATGATGATTGTGATTGAGATAGATTTCTATATAGTTTATAATACATGATATGTTCAGGTTGATATACCTCGAGCCAAGCAACCAGATTATGTTCCTCTAGATTTAGATTTATCAGAATAATTACTTACTCAGTAAAATTCTCCTAGTCTCAGTTGTGTGTTTAGGATCTTGATTAGGTTTCTAGTAACTAGTCAATGATGTTTCTCATATCACTGAGACATAGTCATGGTTGATACAACAGGTACAAACGATGAATCGTGCCTGTACATGACGTTGTGATATAGTCATGATCGTCTGAACAATATTAACTCATGAATGAATCATGTCTCTACATGACAAGATCATTCTGGAAGGGAACCGACTACGGCTTTCGGCTCGGCTACACTCACTAGACAATCGCCACCCGCTCCGGACCCGTGCTGCCGTGTGTCTAAGAGATGGAACACGGAAGTACAATAAATATGCTCGGATCTATAAAAACCCAGAGTTCCAGATGTCACGAATCCAGCGTGCTTACCAACAACTCCAGGACGCGGAAAATGCCGAGCCTTTACCGCCGCCATGCAATCTTTCGGGTTTCGGCTCAAGGTTAGAAGAGGAAGAGGAGGCAACTCGGTTCATTGATAGTGTACCGGCATCAGATATTTGCGCCTACCCAGATGGATTGTCGGAGGGGAATGGTCGCTCAGCATGGGGGTTCGTCTTGAAGAGGGATGGAAAAAATCTGTTGAAGGGATGCGGCATCAAGCATGGTGGTGAAGTGCTTCATGCGGAAATACTAGGGGCGAGGAAGGCCCTAGAAGCTGCGCTGGAATTGTCGGAGGGGGAGAAAGGGGAAAGAGACGGCAGGCAGCAGATCAACGTATTGACGGATAGTCGGTCAGCAGTGAAAGCACTACTGACGGGAATTGCCACAACAAGCCTAGACGGCGTACGCCAATTTAGGGCGCTATCAAAAAAGGCTCTAGTCTCGGTGAAGTGGATACCGGCCCACTCCGGGATACAGGGAAATGAAGATGCAGACAGAGCTGCACGCTCCAGCCTCCGACAACTGCCAAGCAAAGACAGCCAGCCTGGCTCCGTCACAATGGCGTTCGTTCGTCGGCTCATGAACCGGAAACTTCAAGCGCTTCTCGACGACTGGTAGGAAGAAGTATGTCCACCTAGGTATCGAAATCTGGGTCTTCTCCGTGAACTGATCTCAGCCCGTACGGGCCATAGAAACTTCGCGGCATGTCACCGCCGCTTCAACAACTTCGCCGATTCAATTGAGTGTGCATGTGGAGAGGAAACATCACCTCTCTATTTCATTCACTGTCAACTGCACGTACGTTAGACGCGTCGACTACGAGGTACAATGTCACATCACGACTTTGTCCACAAGCTTCTCGAGCCTAAGTACCTCGAGAACTTTACAAAATTTGCGCAGGAAACCGGCTGCTTCGGGGGCCCACCTATGGATCCGTCTCCAGCTCTCAACGGAGACGGTGGTAATTAGTCAAAACACGATGTATGTCAGGTAGGAAAACGAGACGAGAAGTGTCGTTTTTCTAACCACAACCTGGATTATTGGGCTTGGAACTTTAGCTATGGGAATTTACGAGAGTCTCTATTTTTCTTTCTTTTAACTAGCTTCTGATTGTGTAGTGGTTAACGCGGTGAAACCGAGGTGGGCAAGCGGAAAGCATGATCTCGGCCGTATACACCGGTCTTTGACTCCTAGGAGATTTAGAGCATAGCTTAGGACACTAAAATAATTCAATTCAATTCAATCAGGTACAGGACCGGTGGAGCCGGCAGGGATATCTGTGTTTTTTCTACAGTCCACTCTTTTTTTTTATAAATTATTTTATGTGTATTCAGCTATCTAGCTATGACACATTACCGGTGCTATATATAGGTGTGGGATGATTCTTTTGACGTTAGAGACACTTTAACTCTCTATTTCATTCGCAAATACCACTATGAGGCGTGTTTGCTTACACAAACAGTCCCCCATCCTCCGTAAGTACCCACCAAAGGGAATTTCAAAACCTTTGGTTATCCAAGCATGCCTTCGTCATTCATGCATACCAGCGCCGCGAGAAATGTGGTTGTGTCTTGCTGGATTTGAACCAGCGATCTACTGTCTCGAGTGGGATATGTGTCCAAGCTATACAGACTCTACTTGGCAGACCGGCCAAGACGATGTACCACCGCACCATCCAACCATGGCGGTGTTTCTAGTGTCGCCTGCACTCTCGTAACCGAAGGCTTGGCGCGCACAAAGCTCAATTTGTAAAAACTCCATGCCAAAATTCAAAATTTCACGCCCGTTGATACTGTATCTATCCTTTGCATCATCTTTTTAACTTGTCATGAATCCTCTCACGCCAATCCCAAAGAACAGTCTCCCAGATTTGTGCGCCACGCTTTGTGTCCTCCGTCGGGTATAAATATCGGCGTGGGCGTGTTTATGGTGACCGGCTGAGGTCAGAGCAAGTCGACGAGAGGTGTGGTCATTGGAATGAAGATGTTCTTGGCCGTACTTGTAAACTTGATGAGACTTAGGCAGGAGTCGAACTTATTAGGGGCGAAAGATGGACATAGTGGAATATTTTGAATCATTGCCTCGTGAGCCATCTTCTTGAGTATTGCAAAATTTAACAGAACTTGGTTCTGGGAGAATATTTCACTCACAGGTTCGTAGACGACACTTCGTACAGGTGTTCAGCCTTCGTCATTTAGCCCTATAGGTTTGGTTCGAGTAGTTCATAATGACTAAAACTAACTCTTATTCCTAAATACTAATTGACATGTAATAAGAAGAGCGCTATTTAGCTGATAATTGTTTTAATCACGCCTAACGACTAGTAAGAAATCTCTCAATTGTAAGGAATTTTTATACACGATTGACTTTTTTGGAAAAGACCTTGTCATCTCAGTTACGGGATTTCTCCTCTACTACTTCATTTGGATTAAATTTAGTTCTTGAATATAAATTGTTTAGATTATGACCCTGCGGAATTCATCTTGATTTTGCTTCGACGAGGTTCATTTTCGCTACAACATCTTGGGGCTTAAATCGGTGCATGAGCTTTTGTGCGTGAGAAGAGAGCTTTGTACACTCCTCCCCTTGACTAGAAGCGCTGATGTGAATCCACGAAAGGTTAGCTAATTTGATTTTATTTGTTTAATTTTGCCTAATGCTAACCACCGGAACGTCAAATTCATATATATCCCGCCAACCCATGCTTTCAGGATCCATAACGTTTATCTCCCGATATTCAAATGGCCTTATCTTCTGAACATCGGCAAGCGTTTTCTTGGCGTCAACACAGAGAGAGCAGTTGACACGGGTAAAAAGAGTGATCCGAATGTTATGAAAAGAGCGTGGGATGGAGTGTATCATTGTGGATGAAGGGATTTAGTGTTCGAATGTGATGAATCTATCATCCCTGGAGCCCTCACATAATAGGCGGAGGATTCCAAAACTTTCTAGCCTTGCATAAGAGATTTGTGCCTTCTCAGCTGGGTCAATCAGCTGACTGAAACCTCCGAATTCCATTAGTTACCCCCCTTGACTCATACAATCAGACCTATCGACAAGCAGCTCAATAGTAATCTGATATTATCGTAAAAAAGCTAGTTTTCTTCTGTCTCGAAGATTGACATTAATCTTAGGTAATCTGAATCTGCCACGTAGATCAGGCGAAATTGTGCCGTTACGTATACGTCCAACTACTGCTGATGGACAAAAAATTGATTAATAATAAGCTGTTGTGTGCCTTAAAGCCTTAAAGCCTTAGGAACCAGGGAAAACGTAAGCATCGTACTTAGAGACATGATTTTTCTTCGTACACCGCCTTTATTTTGTGCCGCGTCAGAATATTTAGTTGCCGGTGACCAAAGGATAGACAAGATCTTCAAAGGAATATCAGTTTGAAAGGTTCAACATGACATTAAAGTGTGTCCACCAGTCATGTGGAAAGATTTATATCGATGTTAATGAACCATGTTATTATCATCCAGGACCACCTATTTTTCACGAGGGACTAAAGGGTAAGGACGGGATATCAATTGCTAGCACGCTCGACACTAATCTTTGGCGTCCAACCTCATTCAAAGATAGAACGACTAACGGTTATGGTTCAAGGTTGGAAATGCTGTAAGCGTCGTGTCTTGACCTTTGACGAGTTCATGTCAATCGCTCCCTGCACTACGGGCACACACTCCACCACCGATCACACCCCAGCAATTGAGAAGAAACAAAGCAAACACGAAGAAAATTGCACCTCAGCCGCAAAAATATCTACAACGACTCGCCCACGAGCCCCAGTGCCTTCAGCACCTCAATCCATAACCGTCCTGCCGCCCCAGGCATCACCAGAATCTGAGGACGATGATCCCTCTGCGAATATTCCTCCTAATAAAATTTGTCGACGGAGAGCCTGTGGTAAACAATATACTGGTGAAAGAAAAGAAGACGAAAACTGTATCTTTCATCCTGGGGTACCAGTATTCCACGAAGGGAGCAAGGGTTACACCTGCTGCAAACGGCGGGTACTTGAGTTTGACCAATTTCTCAACTTACAGGGCTGTCAGGCCAAAAAACAACATTTATTTATCGGTAGTGGTAAGGTCAAGGGAACAAATTCCAACGGTGAAGAAGCTGTGGAATCTGTAAGGTACGTGCAGCTAGTAGCACGGTTCATTCTTTGCTACCATCTCTTGTTAAGCTTTTTTTCAGGCATGATTTCTATCAGACGAGTGGAGCTGTGATTGCTTCGTTTTTTCTCAAGAAAATAGAGAAAACGAAATCCCACGTTAAATTTAACTCAAATGAGCTTTTCCTCGATCTTATTACCACGGACTCGACACCTAAACGGTACATAGCAACAATCCCTCTCTTCGGTACTATCAATCCCACCGAATCTACCTTTAAGGTCATGGGTACAAAGCTTGAGGTTAATTTCATAAAAGCCGATCATTTATCATGGCCCGTCCTCAGGAGTGACGACCGTCTTGTCGGGGAGGTTATACAAATTGGTAAGGCTGGAAGGGCGTAGAATCTCCAGAATTCATCCACGAAAATGAGCTGTCTTTTAAAACAAGAGAAAATACAAAAACTTTGGACGAAAAATATCAGGCTTGTCCTCTATCCTACATTTTGGCATCTCTTTGATTCCTAGTGGCCATCTATAGATTTATGGTTATTCAACAGCTGGTCGTAGGACGAAAACACTGCCCCTGTGCAGCCTACAAAGAGATGGATTTTAAGGATAGTCGGTATTGCTTAGATTTATTCTAACCCTAGTCAAGATTCTCTTCACGAAAATTTATCGGAGACTCCCTCTCAAAGGCATCATGTGATTTGCTGAAAGACCATTCAAGCCTCTGGCTAAGATTTTGTTTCGTTTTAATATACGGGTGCAATGCTGATAATTCTAAAAATATGTACTAGATTCCTGTAACAATATCTCATGAATTTTTATACTTGCTTGGCTGGAAGCCTATCTAAGACATACACGATAGAATTAGGGACTTCAAACCGTAAAAATATTCAACGTCATGCCATGGCCATTCTTTAGAAACTTGAGAGAAGCGCTTATTTCAACACAGGTAAAACACACTTAAGATTTGATTTTAAGATACGATGGAAATTTAAGTTGCACATTCTCACACTTTAAAAATAACTTTTTCTCGTGTAGCTCATGTAAGTGTAATTCCTAAAATTCAGACAAGTTCACGATCCAATAACCTTTTCAGTTCCCAGGGATCGAAATAAATATGAGCAGAGTAAAATGAACTGGCAAAAATTTAAAAATGACAGAGTTATTAGGGAAGTGTGATAAGGCTTGTTAGACTCTTGCGACATCATTTTAGAGGGATTAGGATTGGAGTAAAATAGATCAATTAGAAAATGGTAAAATTTTATAATTCTAAAACCAAAGTGGTATATCTAAGTATCAAAGCAACACTGAATTCTCTTACTTTTTTTAATCCATTTACATCCTCTATAAGTCTAAGACTATTGTAGGATGTGCATTCTATTAGAACTGCGTATTCTAATACCTGCTGCATACAAGGTTATCCAATATTTCTTAATCCAGTCTTCTGCATGTGAATTGTTTGAGTGCCCTAGACTCTTGTAACTCTTACTTTGTTATAACTAAGCAGGTATGTATCATTCTAACTAAGTTCCTCACTTGATACTAAGTTAGAAATGACATGTTCCTACACTTGTACAGTCCTCGATTACTGGTGTGGATCGAAATATGTGTTATAATGCTAGTCACTGCATTAAAAGCGAATATTATGTATAAAGCATCCGCCATCTGATATAGGTTGTCAAGATACATGCATGCTACTGGCTAACGCCTTATTATGATCCAACTGACGTCATAAATTACAACAAAAATTGTAAAGTAACTAAGATCGCCATGGAATCTGGACAACTCGAGGCTAGTATGCAACCCATATCGTTTCAAACGCATGGCTGAGAATGGTACACTACGAATCACCCTGTCAGCTGCTTAGTATAACTGTACTCTGCTACATTACGTTGAATTCTCTTTTTCCTTGTATACGGGCTAATTTTGATATGTAGAGACATCATCTTGCCAGAAAGCTGCGCAGCACTTCGCGCGGCATTTATCATCTATTTGACATCGTGAATCCTATCTTTATCTTCCTTACTCTTCACAAAACATTTCGCTTTCCGTGCTCCAACATGACGAGTGTGGGTAAACTGGCGGTTTCGAAGCGTTGCAAAAAGCGACAATGGCGACCACAACCAACGGTGCCTGAGTGCAAACAGCTCCAAAGGATAAGAACCTTGATATCCTAGGGAAACTATTGAAACAGTTCATACTAATCGTGATGGGCGAGATGGATGAGGAGGACTTACCATTAATGGAGGATGTTAAAGAGGCCGCGAAGGCATTTAATGCGCACAAAAGTGCCTGGACAGAACCGTCGCAGAAGAAGTCTCCGATCGAGGAGAGGGTGATGGCACTAGAGGAGATTGTCAAGAAGAACCTCGCGGATCCCGCTCGTAATGCTACTCCAGGAGTGGCAACGGGGATGCCGCAACTAAGGACCCACGCGTCGGTCGTAGCTCCGCAAATGACTAAAACAGCGGTACGTATTAGAATCAACGGAGCGGATAAATTGCAGCTTCAAGAGCTGCTATGAAGGGTGCAATTTTTTTTTAAATCATTTAATGTGTATGCAGCTATCTAGCTATGACACAATATCAAAGAAAAGTATAGAAAAGATGTTATGAATATCGTGAGCATGACTTGTAAATGTCTATTTATGACAGATACAAGGTCTATGATAGATATCTTGGCAGGAGCGTCAAACCACCACGCATGACGAGTTTGAGGCAGAGTCAAATATGCTTGGGTGAAGCATCCGGGTCAGGAAGTCGCAGCCAAGGAGTATCATATATACTTAGCATTGTGTCATAGTTGTGAACCTAGGGTCTAGTGATACTTAGGCAACGGGAGATGTAAATGAGTCAACGAGTCTCAGTTTACGATCAAGTAGTACTGGCGTAGTCATGTGGGATAAAGGCTAACACAAGAGACTTGTATATGATATAGCGATATCTTTATGTTCAGATAGAAGTAACAACAATAATAAGCTAGCAATCAATCGAATATTATCGGGATTCATTATTCATATCATTCTAGTATCATCAATTACACGATAATACTCCAATAAAAGATGACTCAATTTACAAGAGAATACTCATGTGAAAGGATGGCACTAGAGTGAATAGCTGTCCGCACGAGTGTATCCAAAATGGGTTTATTTTGTGTCTAAAGAGAAAACTGCACACTTGTGGGATCACCCCCTAGATGTTGTCTCGCTTATCGCTGACATAATCAACTCCTAGGAGCCGGATAAACTCCGGATCCCATCTACAAGGCAATAGCCTGTAATATTACTCCCCTTCTCCCTTTGCTGTGAATATTAGGTGAATAATTATATCCCTGCCAGCAGCGCTCACTTTGTAGTTTTTCTACGCCCTGATATTGCACCAGAATCTTCACCAACATTATCTTTCGTTCCATAACGTGCTTCAAAAATATCCAGCGCTTCAGTTTCTTCCAAATTAACCCTATGTTCCCACGTGGGCTCAGCAAATCCTCTCCACTTAACTAGGACCAAGCGTCAATACCATTGTCCAATTTTCTTATTTTCAGCTCGTATAATTTTCTCGACAAATTACTGGGACTCTTCATTATCTAATTGACCGTCTTGTATTTGCGATTTTACTGGTGGAGTTTGAGCGTCGTCAGTGATTTGGGACGGTAGTGGGTCAGTAGCTGCTCTTTTTAGCAAATCAACGTGAAAGCGTGGCCATATAACTCGTGGCATATTTAATTCGACTGAATGCGAGTCGATGACTCTTGTTACTTGGTACTTCGCATTTATCCATGAGAGTTTTTTCGATAGTTGTGGGGTCTGAATATTCTTCAAGTTTAGCCATACCCGGTCTCCTATTTTAAAAATATCAGCCTCCTTGCGGCTTTTGTTTGAATACTCCTCCATACTATGCTGTGCCGACGCCATAGCTACCTGTGCCATCTCTTCTGCCTCCTTCAGTCTATTCACGAAATCCTGAGCCCTTTTTGCCGGATCTGAAGGGAAACTAAAAGCTTCTTGTTGCTGAATTGGTTCTACGTGGTAGCCATGTTCGATAAAAAATTGGCTCATTCCAAGTGCGGCTGACTTTCTATTGTTCAACGCTAGCATGGCGCATGGGAGTAGCTCTTTCCAGTCAAATTATGTGTATGTAACAAATGCCCGTAGGTAGGCCAAGATTTCCTGATTCATTCGCTCTGTAATATCGTCTGTTTGGGGATGGAACGCTGTTGAAAGTCGCTGGTTTATTCCTGTTTGATTGCAAAGCTCCCTCCAAAAGTCTCCAACCCAGTTAGATCCCCTATCAGAAGTAATATAATTAGGAAACCCGTGATATTGGAAATGCAACTTGAGAAATACCCTTGCACAATCTTCAGCTTTCATAGTCGTCATCTCTTCAATTGCAACACTTCCTTTTAGACGATTCACTACTACCACATGTATCGCGGGTCTTTGGTTGTCTTTGCGGGCAAATCTGTCGTAAAGTCGATTGCTAACTCACTGTTAAATCGATCGGGAATTGGCAGAGGTCGCAGTAGTCCTTTTTTAAGCTCTCCCCACACATGACTACGGCCACAAACATCGCAGTTCCGGCAAAATTTTCGTACCATTCTTGAAACCCCAGGCCAAAAATAATTACGATTTAGTATTGCTAATGTACTATCTATTCCTGGGTGGCCTGTAATGTGAGAATCATGAGTTTTTTAGATTAAAGCTGTTTGTAGCGGCTCATAGTTTGGTACCCAAATTCTGTCTCTGAATTTCAGAACACCTCTCGCATCAAAGGTACATTCTGCCAATGAGATTTTAAGGTCGGTGAGAGCCGAGGGCAAACATCTATCTCCGTTTTCAAGACATTTATAGAGAAGCCGTATTTTTTCATCAGCTTTTAAGGCTTTGTCCCATAATATCTGCAGATACTCATCCGAAAATATTTTGCTACCGGCTGAAATAGGGTTTGGGTCGATATCTATAGAAATTGCAGATATCCAATTATCCTTGATAAGTTGCAACTCTCTATCTTTTAATCGATAGTCGTCTATACCCTGGGACATGTCTTGTTCACGCCTTGATAGTGCATCTGGACTGTCCGCTTGTTTACCCGGCCGGTATTTCAGTTTGAAGTTAAATTGGGAAAGTATTTGCGACCATCGTATTGTAATTTGTTTGCTAGACCTGGCGGTGTAGCTTATCACAGTTAGAGAATGTATTCTAGAATGCAGTGGTGGTGTTACGGTTTGACCGTGGTTTAGCTTAGGCGGAGACCTAAGCGGAGTTTGGGGGCGTATTCGGGAGAGTGTTACACATTATCTTGTATCAAGCGACTTAGTTTCACTTGGCCACATTACATTAAAGCTAGGAAGGAATGTGAGACGGCGAAGTAGAATTGCCAAGTGAGAGAGTCAGCTAG